CATAATATCCATCAGTATCATAACGGCCAATTTGTATAAAATGCACAACAAATTAACTCCAGACTATTTAAATTCTCTATTGCCATCTTCCGTTGCAGAAAATAACCGTTACACCCTTAGAAACAATGATGATTATAGAATTCGTCCTTTCAATCTTTCTCTAACAAATTCATCTTTTATAATTTCAACTCTTGGCGGTTGGAATTCATTGGACCTTTCAGTACGATCATTGACCTCATTACATTCTTTTAAAAACTCGTTAACTTCAAATGTACAATCTCCTCCACCAATCTACTTAGGTTTCGGTGAACGTAAATTGAACATTTTGCACACTAAACTTAGACATCAGTGTAGTTCACTTAAATATGATCTGTTTAGAGTAAATCTGGTTGATAGTCCAGTTTGTTATTGTGGCTACCCCTGTGAAAATGCCTTTCACTTTTTTTGTGAGTGCTTACTTTTTCACAACGAAAGACATACCCCGCTCCAAAATTTGAATGCCTTGCATGTTGATTTTAATTTAGAACTACTTTTGTTTTGGTAATAGTCAACTTTCGGTAAAACCAACATAAGTATTATAGACATGTGCATCATTACATCAAATCCAGCAATAGGTTTTGATAGTTATAATTACTTTTCTATTTCTGTTTATGTGTAAGTTGTTATATGTGTTTGTAAAATTGTATTTCATTATTTTGCCTGATTTATTTGTTACATTGATTCTGTTCATTTTGAAATTACTCTACCATGATGCATGTCATGAAATTTGTATAATTCATAATTTATTCAAATGCGGATCGATTTCTCAGTTTACACGTTTACTTTTCTATGTAACACCCCTCCCCTCCATCACCCCTACCCCCTCCCACCCCACCTTTCCTTCTCCACCCTATCTTTTTCACTTTCCCAAAAAAACATATACACTGTTTTTACCATATGTATTGGGGAGAGGACTCTATTAAGTTGTAATAACTTGTTGTCCGATCCATTTGTATATTTGTACAATAAAATATGTTTAAAACTAACGGCCAATTTGTGTTGGTAAAAGCAGGAATACACGTGTAGCTCGGAGCTAAAAGGCGTTTGAGTCATAGTCCATACGGTTTAGTCTCGACTAGCATGCATTTCTAAAATACCTAGTCTCACTTAGCATACTACTTACAATCATTTTCAAAGTTAATGAGTATTTCTTGAAGCCCTTCAACTGACTCGGAAAATGATGAAGTCTATTATTTAAAGTGAAAAATGAATATTTATATTTTCATGAAGTTGAACAAAAATGAATATTATGTTATGATGAAGAGTTTGATATATGAAATGGAAATGTCATGTATAAATATAATTTAACAGCAAATATACGTGCTGTGCTTATACTCTAAGTATGCATTAGACTATAGTTTACCTGTAATTAAACCCTATTGTTCTCTATCTGACACAAAATCTCACCTAGCACACCTTACCGGTATATAGGAAAATACCAAATGTATGCTAGGTTAGAAGACACCGTCCATACGGCCAAATACTTGTATTTGACGATTTTAATGTGACAACACCCATGTTACAACATCAACTCCCTTTATTGCTCAAGTGCTCATGTGCATACCAACTACAGATTACACATCGAGTTACTGTGTAAGGGAGATAACTCTTATTAAACGTTAGGCAAGTTATCTGTAATTCTGTAACAACGTGGCGAGTGTAGCGGGCCATATCTGTTGCATCGTAATTTTGGAATGTCAGCCTATGAGGACATTGGATACATGCATATTTTACTTGTTCAGCTGCTTTTAATGGACATTATGTTCATAACGACCACACACATTTTTGATCATTTTTTTCCACTTGAATATTTACTTTTAAAGCTTATACATGTATGTAAAAATAGCATTGGTTCATTAGTTCATTGATTATGACACCGTTGTAAGCGTCAGTCGCTTCTTGAGGTGCTTCGTGAGAATACGAAGTCAGTCAGAGGCCACGTAGCACCGGGCGCTTTATTATGGTGACACGAACATATAGATAGAGTGTAATAAACAGGAGCTGTGTAAAACTAGTTCCCCGCACGCACAGTTTTGTATTTTGTACAGTAAGTATAACTCATTTTGTTTAACTGGCTTGAACAATCCCGAGTTATAAACTTTTCCGAAAGAAACTCGAGTGTTCCGAAGAGCCATTGGGAACTGACACCAGTAAATAACAGCAACACTTTTTATCATGTGTTTATTGAGGGTACCGAGGTACTTTTTTTATACCTCGGTACCCTCAATTTTAAAAGGTTTAAGAATGTGTATAAACACCGGATAAAAAGTGTCCTTTTAGCCTGATTATTAACAAGTAAAACCCGACTTTTTATATGAATATAATCAAATTCTGTACTTCACTAAGTAGTTTTTGATTTACGTAAACATTGGAGATTTGTTAATGTGTATAGACCATGATAAAATAACAACACTATTTTATAAGACTTAAACTTTCAAGAAGATTTTTTTATTTCTTTCCTTTTTTATGATTTATATGGACGGTCCATATTTATCCAAAACAAATCTTGAAAATTTTAGTGTACATGTATGCTACGCCACTGCACAATAAACTGCAGCAGGTATCACTTAATAATTTGCTGATATCAGTATGAATTGGTCGTGTCAATAACATCTTCAACCGAAATCCTTGCAAACGCTCCAAAAACAAAATTAGCAAAACAATAAAACTGGAAAATGACAAAAATTTATTTACATCAGTAGATTGTTGTTTTGTAGTCCGCTCGTCCTAAACAACATTGTTCATTTAAAATTATCCTATCTATAAGATGATCCATTTTTTTTATACTAACCACAAGAACTGTTATTTTACAGTATATACATGGTCCGCGTTGGCGCATCCTTGATACTCCAGGGGTTATGCTTACTTGCGCTCTCTGCATCCCTGGAATATGGTATAGCAAAAAGTGAAGGCACGGGGCTAAAAATACATTTCACTCCAGTTAAATACTTTTTCACTTCAGTGAAATAATTCATCATTAAAAAAGGCGTTAGTTCATCTTCAGGTAAAAAGAATTTCACTTACATGCAATCAATTTTTACCTTAAGATCAAATAGTATTAAGGTAATAGAATTGTGTCACCATTTCTCAGTAGAATTTCTTCAAATTTTGTAGTTATATTGCTTTGAAGTAAAGAAAAAATTCTGCCACAAAAAAAAATCAGGTTGTCAGAATTTTAAGAATTTTAAATGGAAATTCATGTAAAAAGGAGTGAATTTTGAAAAAATAAATAAAAACACATATTTGTTTGCAAAATAATGTCACTAAAAATGATACTGACATAGATTAGTATCGCATTAATGTATATCAATTTCATCAATACTGAAATTGTGTAAAATTAATTATCTATAAACGACTACAAATTGACATTTTATAATAAAACCATATACACAAAGTAATTGCATGTAAGAGTTATCGTTCTTGAAAAACTTCACATTGATAAAAAACCAACTGAATTAATGCCTGGATTGCTTTGAAATACTTTAATATTGAAAGAACACACTGTTCTGTCAATAATAAACATACAATATTCATTAGTTTAATATTAAACATTAGAATATGTAGACATTGTGATACTGTCTCCCTAAATTGGATTTTCAACTAGGGATGTACTTCTCATTTCCGTTTATCTATACACTCCAATGACCTTAAATGAACGACGAAAGATGCGGCATAGTAGGAAGACAGCGAAAGTTATCTCTCTTTGATTGTAATTACTAGGCGTATACACTGTTACATATTTAAAGTTAAAACGGGCTTTGCATACGTAGTGTATACAATAGTTATGTCAACACATACCCCTGCACTATGAGTTAAATCATTCATCTGATACAGTTTAGGGCATTGTCATGTGATAGGACGTACACGAAAATATACAGGAGTGCCGATGGGAAAGCTTTTTTGCAGATGTTGGAAGCTGAAACTCGTCGAACAGCAAGTGCGAGATTGAATGTGGATTTTAGATGTGCAAATTAAAAAATAGCCGTGCTTGCGATGAGTAATCGTCCGTTTTTAATCAACCCGACATTGAACTAGCTGAGAAAATTAGGCAATTAAACTAAAAGTGAAAAAATCAACACGTCGGAGAACCCAAGGAAATGATTGAAACTTCATCGACGAGTGGAGTTCAGTCTTGTTGTAAACAGTGTTCCCCTTAATGTTCCAACATATCTTGTACTTTCTCTAAGTGTCCCGAAACTCGTTTTTTCTCTCTCCGCGAAGTAATCAAATGTACCGCTTCATATCACAGGAGCCTGAAGTTCTGTCAATAATTGATAATAACAGTAATACAAAAAAATACCTATAATATGATTTTTTGTATATTACTCAGTGTTATTATTAACTACTGACACAACTTCAGGCTCCTGTGTTCATATGCCGTATGCTTTTAATTCAATATATTTATTGTATATGTCATATAATATATTTTGAAACGTTACAGAAAATAATTTGTAGTCGGTTATGATTAATTATGATCTGTATGCGCTTTCCGATTCGTACCTTCCTGCCCCCCCCCCCCCCCCCCCCCCCCCCCCATTGACACCACGTAGGCCTACATGATACCGTCTGAAGAGGGAAATAAACGACACAATGGACTCGCAGCAGAGAATTAGATTAAAATCGGTTCTTACATGACTGCATGAGACTAAAATAAAATGTTGACATTGAAAAATTGAGTTAGCATTTGTTCTCATTTTGAACAATATTGGAACCAAGTGGCAAGTGCTTATAAGCGAACGTACATGACCATTGCAAATGTTTTGAAATAAATAGGATGCCTATTAAACAACTAGATACTGTACATAATATAAAGAACATTAGTTTTGTTAGCAGGGGAGTGTCAAACAATGTTAAGTTTGGTTGCGCGTTTCCTTTGTAAAATATGAGAGTTACTTCCCCTGGTATTGTTGGTAGATCTCGCGGTTGTTTGCACGTGACTTTTCCTGTGTTGCTAAGCGGCATATTCGCTTGCGAATCAATCATGGAAGCTGAAATGGAAACCCCTCCGAAGAATAAAGGACATAGAATGTTTGTAGTGAGACAAGGAACACTGGACAATGTCATCAAATCCCGCGGGTAAGTTGTATGTTATTTGCATTCAATATTTCACAACAGCAGAAGAGAAATATTTTATGTAATATAGATTCCATCGGACTGATGGGCATGATGACGAATCGCGCCAATTTTGTTGACAGTGCTTAGGCCCATAGGCCTTTTTACTCGTGAAATCAAATAGGGAATTCGGAGGTTACGTTAATCTTATGTGCTTTTGTCATTCACAAGACCTTGTAATGATTGTTAATTGTCTGTGAAGACAAAGACGAGCTGGAGACAGTCATTTTTTAACGACTCATAACCTAGGTCATAATGTAAAAATATATTATTATAGGCCTACCAAAGAAGGGTTGCAAACGTTCTGAAGACATCTTAATATTAAATAGAGATATCTATAATTGAAATAAAAAAAAAGGAAAACAGAAATAGAGAAGAGTTATTAGGTCCCTAAGTGGTGAACACACATTTTATTAATGTTTTTAACTTTAGGCGCTCAGACAAACGGTTTAAAATCAAATAGCATAATCAATAATTGATAATTGGTTTGTAATTGAAATTATTAGAATACAATTATAATTTTATGGGACTGAATTCGAATACCAAAATATTTTTAGCAACAAAACAAGTGTGACATCAATAGACAGAGAGATAGCTAAGATTAGGGTTCCTTTAAGCAAGTTTTATGTAGCTTTGAGTGTCTTTCTATATTATCTTCAAACATTCATAAAATGTTAATTTATATACATGTATGTAAAATGTTCTTGTGACAAATTATGAAATTTGTAATTAATAATCACAATTGGAAATTTTAAAAACCTATATATTTTCAGTTATAATTGAAATAGCATATGTTTAAACCTTAAAGGCCTATAGAAGTTGTTACAAAATTTCTCCTGGAACTGATCCAGATTGTAAAAAGAAGTAGTATGGTGACAAATTGATGTGACTTAATTCTCCCACCTCAGACAGAGATATCCCACGTCATAGGCCATGCTAGAATTTTCTATCTCGTCTGTCTTGTACCTTTACGTGACATTTTGTGGAATTTTGACACTGCGATGTATTCATCCGCATGTTAACTGATTGAAATTGACAATTTACATTATAAATGTTCTGTTTTGTCGTTATATGTATATTTTTGATGTTGTTGGATATTTGATATTGTAGATAAAATTCAATCTACACTGTGGAATACGTTGTAATCTATGTAAGGACGGTCTAAAATTTTTACGCAGAAGCATTCAAATGTAGCTTTAGAAGTGAAGAGGTCATTATCCTTGGAGGCCCAAGGCGGTATACTTGTAGCTTTTAGCAAAATTGAAAGTTCTTTTCCAGCTAAAAGGTATGAGAAAAAAAATAATTACCTGTAACTGAGCGAGATCGGGTTATCTCAGTCTAGGGGTAAGATTTTGTAACATCCCAACCTCGGCTTGCGTCTCTGTTGGGATTTTGTTACAGAATCTTAACCCTTGACGGAGATAACCCGATCTGGCTCAGTTACAGGTAAAAGATTTTATTAATCTGTTAGTTTAATTTCTTATGTATACCTTTAATCTATGGATATAGAATTCTTTGTATATCCTTTAGAGTTGACAAAGGAAAAGTTACATAATTCTCTTTTCTTTTAAACCATTTCAGAGAGGCGGTGGAAGCTAAGCATCTTATTAAATCAAGATTTTCGTTTGAATCAACCCATCTGCAGCATATGGAGAAACATAAGAACAGTACTTTGAAGATTGTTGAGAGTGGTAAGTAAAATTTTTGTGCTTAATGGAAAATGTATTTTCAGCAAGGGCGGCAATTCTAATTGTTTGTTTGTTTTGTTTGTTTGTTTGTTTGTTTGAAGAGTTTATAGTCTACACTTCACTGGCTGGTGCCAGTGTTCGGTCGACTTGTGCAATTCTGATATTATTGACACAATTTTATACTTCTTGAGTGGTTGTATGTTTAAGAACCACTTAAAGAAGAGATTTAAAGGTGGGGTATGGGTGCAACCTGAGGACTCCTGTATTTTCTATGTTATAAATTCCTTCTCACCCTGGTGACGAATCTTGCAAATAATTACTGTGTTCACCACACAATTTCTCAACCCTGCAATGCAAGGTTACTTATACACATAGATACATGCACTCAAAGGAATTCCACCAATTATGATATATTAATTTGCAGGGTTCTCCCCAGGCCATTTAGCTGATACGGCTCCGTATCAGCTTCAGTTTGAAATCCTCCCTGCCGTATCAGCTTAATTGACCCGTATCACCTTAAACTGTGAACCGTATCACCTTGTTATTTGTACTGAACAGNGACATATAAACTAAACAGTTAATTCCTGTTTATTAATTTAATACCATTCAAATACAGGTTATTAGGGAGGATAATTTTGTGGAACATGTCCTGGTCACTGAATTAATTGAAATTTTTTTAAATAGTGTAATTATAATAAAAACATATTTTTTTACCTATTTCAATGAAATACAATTTTTTATATTACTTAATATTGCATGTATTAAACACAGATACCAGGTGCTGAATTGAGTGAAACAGACTAAAATCTAGTCCGAATACAATCAAGTGTTGGGAATCGGTTGAAATTTTATGATCTATCATTGGTTACCATTAACCAACCAATGATCGATTAATATTCGATTTATAGAAATACTGAGTGAAAACCTCCATGCTGTTGTTTCGAGTCACTAAGGCAAAAAAAGTGATACCATGTAATTATGATATAAGAAATACCTGCTTCAAACACTGAATCTGTAATATATAGTCCTAACTAGCAGCTATGAGCTAAAAGTAAGTCATGCAGTGATTATGCCATCAATTTTACAAAGGAGTTGGGGAAAATGTCTACTGAATACTCAATAATATCTACACATTAACATTCCGACTAAAATTGATCATGGATTTTGTACTCGATTAATCAGTTTGTTAGCCTAAATGACTGCATGATGCTTGACTTAGTCGATTAATCAGAACACCATCAATACAAGCCTAACTGACCGATGCTTGACTGAGTCGATTGATCACATCACCATCAATACAAGCCTAACTGACCGATGCTTGACTTAGTTGATTAATCACAACACCATCAATACAAGCCTAACTGACCGATGCTGGACTTAGTCGATTAATCACAACACCATCAATACAAGCCTAACTGACCATTGCTTGACTTAGTGGATTAATCACATCCCCATCAATACAAGCCTAACTGACCGATGATTGATTTCGCCGATTAATCACATCACCATCAATACTAAAGCCTAACTGACCGATGCTTGACTCAGTTGATTAATCACATCCCCATCAATACAAGCCTATAACTGACCAATGCTTGACTTAGTCGATTAATCAGAACACCATCAATACAAGCCTAACTGACTGATGCTCAACTGAGTCGATTAATCATATCACCATCAATACAAGCCTAACTGACTGATGCTCGACTGAGTCTATTAATCACAACACCATCAATACAAGATTAATCACAACACCATCAATACAAGCCTAACTGACTGATGCTCGACTGAGTCTATTAATCACAACACCATCAATACAAGATTAATCACAACACCATCAATACAAGCCTAACCGACCAATGCTTGACTTAGTCGATTAATCAGAACCCCATCAATACGAGCCTAACTGACCGATGCTTGACTTAGTTGATTTATCACAACACCATCAATACAAGCCTAACTGACTAATGCTAGACTTGGTCGATTTATCACATCCCCATCAATACAAGCCTAACTGACCGATGCTTGACTGAGGCATTAATCACAACACCATCAATACAAGATTAATCACAACACCATCAATACAAGATTAATCACAACACCATCAATACAAGATTAATCACAACACCATCAATACAAGATTAATCACAACACCATCAATACAAGATTAATCACAACACCATCAATACAAGATTAATCACAACACCATCAATACAAGCCTAACCGACCAATGCTTGACTTAGTCGATTAATCACATCAATACAAGCATAACTGACTGTTGCTTGACTTAGTCGATTAATCACAACACCATCAATACAAGCCTAACTGCCCGATGCTGGACTTAGTCGATTAATCACATCACCATCAATACACAAGCCTAACTGACCAATGCTTGACTCAGTTGATTAATCACAACACCATCAATCCAAGCCTAACTGACCGATGCTTGACTGAGGCATTAATCACAACACCATCAATACAAGATTAATCACAACACCATCAATACAAGCCTAACCGACCAATGCTTGACTTAGTCGATTAATCACATCCCGATCAATACAAGCCTAACTGACTGATGCTTGACTTAGTGGATTAATCACAACACTATCAATACAAGCCTAACTGACTGATGCTCGACTGAGTCGATTAATCATATCACCATCAATACAAGCCTAACTGGCCGATGCTGGACTTAGTCGATTAATCACAACCCCATCAATACAAGCCTAACTGACCAATTCTTGACTTAGTGGATTAATCACATCCCCATCAATACACAAGCCTAACTGACCGATGCTTGACTTAGTCGATTAATCACATCACCATCAGTACACAAGCCTAACTGACCGGTGCTTGACTTAGTCGATTAGTCACATCACCATCAATACTCAAGCCTAACTGACCGATGCTTGACTTCGTCGTTTAATCACATCACCATCAATACACAAGCCTAACTGACTGATGCTTGACTTAGTGGATTAATCACAACACCATCAATACAAGCCTAACTGACCGATGCTTGACTGAGTAGATTAATCACAACACCATCAATACAAGCCTAACTGACTGATGCTTGACTTAGTGGATTAATCACAACACCATCAATCCAAGCCTAACTGACCGATGCTTGACTGAGTCGATTAATCACAACACTATCAATACAAGCCTAACTGACCGATGCTCGACTTAGTCAATTAATCACATCACTATCAATACAAGCCTAACTGACCGATGCTCGACTTAGCCGATTAATCATATCACCATCAATACAAGCCTAACTGACCAATGCTTGAGTTAGTGGATTTATCACAACACCATCAATACACGCCTCACTGTCCGATGCTTGACTGAGTCGATTAATCACACCACCATCAATGCAAGCCTAACTGACCGATGCTTGACTGTGTCGATTAATCACAACACTATCAATACAAGCCTAACTGACTAATGCTAGACTTGGTCGATTTATCACATCACCATCAATACAAGCCTATAACTGACCAATGCTTGACTTAGTGGGTTTATCACAACACCATCAATACAAGCCTAACTGACTAATGCTAGACTTGGTCGATTTATCACATCACCATCAATACAAGCCTATAACTGACCAATGCTTGACTTAGTCGATTAATCACACCACCATAAATACTCAAGCCTAACTGACCGATGCTTGACTGTGTGGATTAATCACAACACTATCAATACAAGCCTAACTGACTAATGCTAGACTTGGTCGATTTATCACATCACCATCAATACAAGCCTAACTGACTGATGCTCAACTGAGTCGATTAATCATATCACCATCAATACAAGCCTAACTAACCGATGATCGACTTAGTCAATTAATCACATCACTATCAATACAAGACTAACTGACCGATGCTTGACTTAGTGGATTAGTCACAACCCCATCAATACAAGCCTAACTGACCAATGCTTGAATTAGTGGATTAATCACATCACCATCAATGCTCAAGCCTAACTGACCGATGCTTGACTTAGTTGATTAATCACAACACTATCAATACAAGCCTAACTGACTAATGCTAGACTTGGTCGATTTATCACATCACCATCAATACAAGCCTATAACTGACCAATGCTTGACTTAGTGGGTTTATCACAACACCATCAATACAAGCCTAACCGACCGATGATCGACTTAGTCAATTAATCACATCACCATCAATACAAGCCTATAACTGACCAATGCTTGACTTAGTGGATTAATCACATCACTATCAATACAAGCCTAACTGACCGATGCTTGACTTAGTGGATTAATCACAACACCATCAATACAAGCCTAACTGACCAATGCTTGACTTAGTGGATTAATCACATCACCATCAATACACAAGCCTAACTGACCAATGCTTGAATTAGTGGATTAATCACATCACCATCAATACACAAGCCTAACTGACCGATGCTGGACTGAGTCGATTAATCACATCATCATCAATACATCAGGAGATATGTTGTTCGGACTATCAACTTTACAAGCTACACAATTGACATATGTGATGAACTGTGAAGTGCATGTGAAAATAGCAAGTTACCTCCCTTTAAGCATCCCACAGGTAAAAAGGTTAATACCCTATATAAAACTTTTCATATTTTTTGTTTACAAATAAAGTTTTAAGCAATAACGAATGAAGAGAAAGCTTAATCAAGTATAAAAAAGCAAATAAAAAGAATCTATAATTTGTTGATAAAAAAAAGGGCATGTCAAGAGATACACATGCTGAAGCATAGTGGATTCATCCCACTCAACACATCTGCACACAGACATGTATATATCCCAAGATTGTGAACTTGTGAAAGCCATGGAAAAAATGAACATTGACCATTCAATTTTTTATTCTATTATATTTCTAACATACAATCAGTCTCTAACTTTTGACATTGATTAAAACTAGGATAGTTTTGCATTTCAATATATATATAAATCTATTAATCCTGCATTCTTCAACTTGCCCAAATCTGTTTAATTATTTTAAAAAGCTCCTTTCAAGACATGCATGGGTTAATAGTATTGATTTATGTATATGATATTTGTTGTTGGGGATATAATTCAAATTTCATGGTAGTTCTTGATTCAATACCAGAAAGAGATTTAATTGCTGCATGGTTTTTACAAATTCTTGTTTTCCCACCTGGTCTGATGAACCAAGGTGAGCTTATGCCATACTGTGGTATCTGTCTGTCTGTCTGTGTATCTGTTGTACATCGGTCAACATTTTTTCTCTCCAAAATAGCCGAACAGTTGATGACTTTAAAGAGAGGAATACACATTAACCCTTAGAGTGCTACATTAAAATAACATACGGTAACCAATCAGTGCTGAATTAATTAGGAGAATTTAATTTTCACTGCAGTTCAAATTTAGATATAACTTCATAAGTCACAATTTTAGTAAAAATATTGCAAAAATAATTCTTGTGTTAATAATACTAAAACATATTAATACCAATGGAAATTGGTTATTTGATAAGTTCGATTAAATTTTAATCAACACGATTAGCTGTTGACCATATAAAATACCATTTTATAGAATGTGCAACTATAGTTGTGACTAGCAGTGGGGGCCACAGACATACAGCGCAGCTATATAGTTGTGACTAGCACTCAAATGGCTGTGGGATTTAGCCCCATCCTTAAAGAGTATAATATACTTATAAGTCATTTTGGATTGGTTGACATTCACTTATCATTTGGTTTAAACAGTATTTTGTTTCATACCGTCATACATCATATATATAACAAGTATGCAGGTTAATAGGAATATTACTATTTAACCGCATACAATTGCTGGGTATAATGAGACAAATAAAAATATGATATTAGAACTTATAGATGGATCTGGTCCCACTCCTTGGTACATAGTTTCTTGGTAACAACTTGGATATAGTCTTCAGATCTCTCTCCCCCCAATAACCATATACCATATAACCAATAACCCAATAACACAAATGTACACATTTGCTAGTAATTCCGTCTTTGCGTATTGCAGAGTTATCTTCTCTTGGGAGCAGGTATTGATTGTTACATCATTGGTTTGTGCGAGAAAATTAGGTCGTTTTCTCAAAAATTAATGACGTTACTCTCACATACAAGTGACGTAACAATCAATACCTGCTCCCAAGAGAAGATAACTCTGCAATACGCAAAGACAGAATAGGGAGATGAACACATGAATATAATGCTACCAAAATGGTACAGGGGTCTGTCCCCGCCCATATGGATATACTCTCTGAATAGTTACATGGAAACATTTGATACCCACGCCATTGTATCAACATATATATATATATTGCTGTTCATGAAGATTTAGATACACATATGCTACATGTACCAGGATTTGCCAACTGCATGGGGACTTGACCTATCAGAGGTGATCTCATTTGCAATAACACATACTATTAATGAGAATATTTTGCCATAATTGCTTTAATATCCAGGTAAGAGATACAGGCCCTCTGAGCCTCTTTTAGCATACTTTTTATGAATTGATATATTTCTTTTTAATTCACAGCATCCAGTTATCCCGTGTTCAAGAAGTTCAATGAGAAGTACATGGCTGAAATACAAAATTCGATCGTTCTACAGCAATCCATAGTGTCGAAATTAGGCGAAGCTGAGGGACCCTATGAAATGATGAAACAGTAAGAATCAGTAATGTTTCATGAATGTTATTTGTGTGTTCTGATACAGCCCTATCTACTTTAAATCAAGAAGAGTTGACGAGGTGCCAAACTCCCTATCTAAAAGTTTATAACCCTTTCACCCCTAGGTAACTTTAGTGGACTCTTCCATACGTTTATTGGGATGAAGCCATTATGGTCTACAGTGGTCAAAGGGTTAAGGAAAACGGTACCACAGCATCATTTATTATTATAAAAAAGAGTTCCGTTCAAGAGAATTTATTTGAGTAATCTCCCTTCTATATGGAAGATGCAGCAACAAAAAGGAGTTTGTGTGACTTAAAGTAAACGATCATGTACCCTTGTTTTGAGGCCTTGGATATAGTTCCTGAATGGCAGCAGTGTGCACGTGTATCCTTTACAGGACCTTTAGTTCAACACCTGCAGCTTTCCTGTTTTCCTTCTTATTTGTATTTTCAAACTCTTAAATTTTGAAGAACTTATTCTATGAACTGCATGGCAACATGGGATTTACATTAAATATATATTTTTAGAGGGACTTAAACCAATATCCCTCAACACAGACAATAATTATAACACATTTGGCTTGATGATTTGATGGTGCTCTTTACCTTTAGTTATAAAACAAGCGCTATTTAAGACTGAGGGTCCTCAACATTGAGAAAATAGTCTTAACGGCCCCCTCCCCCACAAATTATGATGCTGGATCAATATTAAGTTAACTAGTGATGGGCTGATGATTGATTGTAATTGGTTTGCCATTTCCGTGTCCGAATATTGATTTCAAATTCCATAATAGATATTATTGGTTCACTTTTGAAATCAAAGTGTCAAATGTATACATGGACAATAAAAGTATTTTTTTATAGTGATTTACAATTTGACTGAAAAAATCTGCATAAAAGTTGCTTGAAATGAAATTATGTCATTTTAATTTTGTTTTTAACGTTACAGATGGCTCGATGCTCCTAACACAACAACTAAACCGGAAGAATTGAAAAAGCAACTTGCTGCATTTTATGAGGAACATGGCAACAAAATCAAACAACTGAGGAAGGAAACAAAGGTAAACAATATGGACATCTTATATTTATTTACCTCAATTTATCAATCGTTTAGTCTCTACGTAAACAATTAAATTGGATTATCACGTACAATATGCCTTGAGAAATTATCACGGTATAAACAACAATTCAAATGGGATATATTGCGATACGTATCCCAATATATAGTTAAAAGAAAAGGGTGCTCATGTTATAAGGAAGTTGTTGGCAGAATCTTCATAATCAAACTGAAATATATTTATATTATCGTGTTTAGTCTGCATTAAACCCAACAGCACACACAGGTTATACTCTACTATGTTTTTTGTCGATAAAATAACAAACACTTAAATTGTCGAAAATGAGCATTTATTCTAAATGCCAGAAATCGAACATATGTATACATCTTTGTGTTGATTTTTATAATAAGGTGTACAAAGAACCAAAAAAGATGGGGTTTGCTTCAAAATAAACACACCATTTGTAAATAAAAGATGTACAACAAATGAAACAAAATTTAAAACAAAGATGTGCAACAATTACATTTTTACACAATAGTACATAAAGGTGGATACAAATTAGGGGAGGAGGAGGGTAGCTGATTTTTAAGGAGATTTTTCAAAATGTCAGCATGGAAAAATATTCTGCACAGGTCACGTGACTTTAGTACACCAAAACATCACGTGACTACTTCTATAGGGATGGACTAGTTTCAAAAACGGAACCCACAAAATATAACAAATAAAAATATCATATACTAACCAGATAATATAAATTACTTTATGCATTGCATAAATACAAATATATCATTTGGTTCACAACGATTTATGAATTTTGTTCAAGCAGCTATCGGTTACGGAATTTCTTCTCCTAACCAATACAAGTAATGGCTTATTGTAATATCATCTTATTAAAGTTATTTATATATTTTGCAAATCTAAAATTCAAACCAGATACATAAAAACCAGCTTTGTAATATTATGGGATACAGCGATATATTTCATTTCTATTTATATAATTTTCAAATCTAAAATTCATACCAGATACTTAAAAACTAGCTTTGTAATATTATGGAATACAGCGATATTTCATTTCTATTAAAAGTGTGATACGATACAATATACCTGTGTATTGCAATAAACTGGTTTTCCAAATTATGTATATATTAATTGTGACAGTCTTACGGATTGGTTTTGATTATTATTTTCAAGGTGTTTCTTAAAATTTGTTACAAACATTGAATGAGAATATTCAATTTACTGTAAGTAAAGTGTTAACATATATTTGTATCAATTTATTTATTTAGGCACTGAGAAAGATAAAGGACCAACTAGAATCGTGCCAGGACAAACTGAGGTGTGTTCAAGCTGCTCTGAAAAGAGATTTTGAGAGGAAAATGGTTGTATCAGCTGGGCAGATGAAGGAACAGAAAAATCTGAAGGGCAAGATACAAGAGTTGTACAGTCGTCGAGAAAAATCTGTGCAATCTTGCAGAGGACTTTTGACAGAAGAAAATGAGATCCGGGAACGTATGCAAAAGGTAAGATTAACTGCAGTTATAGTCATGTAGCTGAACTGGACTGGGTCGAGGGTCGGCGACCAGGTGACTCAATTGGTGGATTCGAATGGTCCAGGCCGACGGGTTTTGAGCCCCGGTCTGGTCGTTACATTTTCTCTTTCTCCTGTTACAAAATTGGCAAGCTTGCAAACCTTTGTTTCAAGCATTGGGAGTACTTTTAGTAAGGGGATTCCCAAACTTGGTTTAGTAAATAGTTGTGTCTTTGGGGGCGAAGACTTAGAAAAAGGAGGGAGGAGTGTAGCGGAACTGGACTGGGTCAATCGTCCGCAACCAGGTAGCTCAATTGGTAGAGTGTCCGTCTAGAGCTTGGAGGGTCCCAGGTTGGAACACCTGTCTGGCTGTTACATTTTCTCTTTCTCCTGTTACAGTGATTTATTATTAGAACTGAAAGTTGTAGAGCGGGGGATATTAATTTGGGTTTGTCCGTCTGTCTGTCAGGGTTCGTTTCCGTGCAATAATTACAACAAATGTTAACTGATTTTTTTCAAACTTGGTCACCGTGGGGTTGGATACCTTACGGGATCGGTAAAGTTTGATGACCATTTGGCGGAGTTATGGCCCCTTGAATAACGTAAAAACATCATTATCTGCTGCGTTTCTGTTAATTAACTCTTGCAAATATTATTCCGATTGTCTTCAAACTTAGTAACAGGGTTAAACGCATTAAGGGCTCAGCAAAGTTTGACACTTCAATCGGACATCATTTGGCAGAGTTATTGCCCCTTGATTAACGAAAAACGTCATTATCTGCAGTTACCGCTTAATAACTCTACCAAATCTTAGCCAAATTCCTTCAAACTTGATAACAATGTTTGTGTTCCTCTGTCTTTCAACCCATCTCAGGCACTCTTTGGTTTTCATGTGATAATTGCTGTAGATATTGTTCAGATGTTTCAACCAAATTCCGTATGCACATCCGACTCATGCTAAGTTTGCCAACCGATGTGATTTGTGCATATTTACAAATAATCAATGAGGTATAAAAAAAAAAAATCTTCAAGTTTCAAGCTATACATTATGTCTCAACAGCAAGGTACTCACTTTTTTAAACCTTACCTTAATAATGTGAACCTGTAATATGTCCTACAAGTGGGGGGTATAAATTCCACGAATTTGCTTGTTACCTTATGTAATGTTGACAACTTTCTTATGTGTCATTTTTATCTGAGTCTAAGTGACACCATGTGTGGAAAATGAGAGTGTGATTGTGTTATTTTTACTGTCAACATGCTTCATTGTGTTGCAATTCAAGCTTCTTTATCAGTTAAAAAAGAGAAATATTGTTTGATCTGTTGAAGGAGAAACATGTTGTTTGTTATAAGGAGATGTTATATCAGTATTTAAAGAAACATGCTATCTTATAAATATATATAGATATGAAAAGACATAATTTTATAAATATAAGAAAAGAAATTTTATTTTATGAATATGACAAAGACATGTTATTTTATAAATATTAAAAAAGACATCTAATTTTTATGAATACAAAAAAAATATAAATATAAGAAGTCCTATGTTATTTTACAGGAGCTGAGGGAGAAATATTGTTTAACCAGTACATGTAAATATTTGTTTAGGGTATGATACAGATTGCGGCTGAAATACACAAATTCGACACGGAAAGAGTGAAAGCTACCAACGACGCTATGACTAAATTTGCATGGATCCTAAACCAACAAGAGGTATTCAGGTAAGGTGTAAATTATTATCTACCTGTAATCAATGCCAACGCAAATATATAGAGGATATTTAATGGTGTCGTCAGTTATAACAAATATATTTCAGGATTGTGGCTAATATTTTTATATTTATCACGAGTGTGCAGCCTAAAAATTAGCACCATAATGAATCGCATATCCTAATGACGTCACACTTGACAACAAGGCGACTGCAGGCCATTTTGAATGAGATACTCAATGCAATTCAAAATGTCCTGCTATTTTCTGGTACAAATGGTTTTTAATTGTGTATTTATGTAAGTACCTAAGTGTGTGTACCAAGCATTTACCATAACAACCACTTATTCTACCGTCGGTTCATTTCAATCTGCACAAAAAATTGTTGCCTTAGAATGCAGCCAATAGAAGATAGCGTTAGAATTTATTGGTCAATACCTGCAAAAAGTGATATTTTCATTTATCAAGTTGATAGAATCCGATACTTCACTGGCAAAAAATGTAATAAATCTTAATATTGATTTCAGAGTTAAGTTTCCATTAAATATTTCTGAACATAATGCACGATATTTATGCAGTTTATGCATTAGTCTACATTTGATTTTTTGTACAGGGGTGGGGGATGGAGGGTGGGGAAATACAATTTGAACCACTGTGTTCCAATTAGTTGTTATAATAAAGCTATTAAACTACAAATATTTCTATAGAGCTAACAGATTATCTATAAAAAGGTAAATACTGCTAATGGTCTTCCAGAAAATGATGGGTTGCTAATTGTCTTTTTCTTGTGTAACTCTTTTGGTAAGACGATACAAGCTGCAGCAAGATAGCATAAATTTTGAATCTGTTTCAGAAAAGACAAAAGAAATGCTACTTTTGACTTGGTAGCTGAGGTGAACCCCAGATTCATTATCCCACCAAAGGCAGTACCAATCAGCAAGGAAAATACCAATTGCATACTTTACAAATTTCCAGACTATGCTGTAAGTAAAAAAATGAAAAACATCTCTTGAATGCTTTCTCTGATGCTTTCTATATTGATATTCTTGTCACAAAGTTTGGTACAAAGAAACGGTACAATGGCACTGTAGCTTAAATATGATTTCAGGTAAATTTCCATGTACCATAAAGACATGCTTATGAAATATAATACAAATGACTTGGGTAAAACATCTTGGTGAAGTTCTTTTTGTGATGTAGCTTGTACTGATGAGATTTTGATTCTATGTACACTGAGACCAGAAGACATTTTCAATATTATCAACGGAATAATAAAAATGAAATCCCGGCTTTTAATGATATAAAATTGAATGAAAATATGTCCAGAGTAGACGTTTTCTTAACACTATGCTATCCTTTTAAACGGGTTTTAGGAGAGGTTAAGAGAGATGGGATTTTCTGAGGAGACAACTTCAAGCCCTGAAACGACAACATCTCCTGTCGTGAAACCTGATGGTAGTTCTGATGGGAACGCCAAAACTAAACCTTCCTCATCTAAAGACGCAGATGATGGATCAACGAATCAATCCACATCCAAAGACACAGGATATAACTCGACTAAACCTTCTTCATCTAAAGAGACGGAGAATAGTTCAACAAAACCTACCGCCAATCGCTCAGATGGTACTTAAACTGTTTAATAATTAGCTAAATTTTCCGTATTATTATATGTTTTTCTAATGAGTTTATGATGTTGTCGTAATTTTCTTTTGACGTCAAAAGTGTGATATTATCTGTTAAATATGCGGAAAAATGCAAATACCTTGTAACAGCCAAAGTAATCATTAAGCCTTTTTCCTTAAAAAACCACCCAAAAACAAAATACTAACCAGAGGTATGAGAATAAATCTTGTTAAATATTGTCACAGCAAAAGAAGAAAATTAAAGATAATTTCAATATTTGTTTTCATAATTGAAATGAACTTATTTAAAATATTTCTCAAGAATCTAAACTTTCCATTGTTATGTCAACAGAGAAAGGGCGTTTTACTGAGGAAACCCAGAGATCCAAAAAGAAAGTCTCACCCCAACTTGTTGAGGATGAGGAAAAACCAAAAAGAAAAGTTGGTAAACCACCAGGGAGTGAGGATTCAGAGAATGAAAATGACAAACCTCCCCATGTCCCCAAGCAAGTATGGGTAGGAGGTGATGACGACAAGGAAAAAGAGAAAAATGAGCAGGTTGCTGTCAACAACGGCGAGCCAGAGATTGAACCAGACGTACCTGGGAGGGACGAGAATCAGCCATGCTCCTATGGCGCACCTTTGGAAGAACCCTTACGAAGGGTAGCTCTGGTGGAGTTCCTGGCTACAGACAACACATTTCTCAGCTTTAAACAAGGTTAGTTTTCATTTTTTTCTCTCAAAAGAACTCCCAGAAAATATTCAAGATGTGAAATCAAGATTCACATTCTGGTAGGATATATGTTGGATATTTGTCAAAAGTATTTAGAAGTTCCATGATACCTTTTTAAATTAATTTATAAGCTGTATGGCAAAGATAATATTTGTTTTATTTGTTGATTTTCTTCTTCTTCTTTCACTTATGTTTTTGCTGTCGTGTTAAAGGGGGGTTGGGGTGGTTGTTTACATTCGGCTCCCACTTCAATATCTTTTATTGTTTCGCCATATGTAGGTTCATAAAATTGAATAATAACTGCATATATGATTATTCATTATTACTGCTGATAACTGTAGTGGACCTCCTTGCATAATACCTGGTTGAGTGATGGGGGTATCCTAACAAAATGACAGAGAAATAACACAGGAAAACGTAACTCTGAAAAGTAGTGTAAAGTATATAAAATTACTGTAATGTTGATACTAAATATGTCATACCCACGTATTGATATACATGAAGTAAGCCTAGTGATACTTTTAATTAGAAAAACACGCAAAACTTTTTACAAAAGTTAAAATATAACCAACATTGTCAACTTGCCTTCAAAGAGTTACAATGGTATCCTATGTTTTATAGTTAATTTGAATTATTATTTGAAATATGAATGACTAATATATGACATTATTTTATATCTTTAACTATAAACAAGAAAAGCAAGGAGAGATATCCTTGTCTGCTCCCCATACAAAAATGATATTTTAGCACATTAGATTCTTGTGACATTGAACGAAGGTCAAGGTCACCAATGTTTACCAAAATTATATCCATCAACATAAAGAACAAGACCCATTGACCTTTTGTTATGAAGAAACACAATTTAAAAGAAAAATGGAGAGAAAGTTTTGCTTTACTATCTTTTAAATCAAAGGTGTTATATGACAAATTTTCTGATTGTCATTTTTTTGTAATTTCTGATATTGAATGATATTATAAGTAGCCAACTTTTAAGGAAGTATGAAAAATAGACTCTTTTTAGAATTATGTAAATTGACGTGTCCAAAAAGGGAATTCTCCCATGAGTAATGAATTTTCACATACTTTTCTGCTTAAATCTTCAATGAAAAGAACAATTCTTTCCGGAAATAGTGTAATAATTGGAATCAAAATAATAGTTAGAATATGTTGCACACGATGATATCAAATGGTTGGAGGACTTGTATAACACACACACAGGTGTAGGTCAATGAGGTTCCATTTGTCATAAAATGAATTCTGAAACTAATTGTTCTGAAACTAATTGTTTAAGCTTCCTTTACCTTTTAATATTGATCTTGTTTTGAATTCCAAGCGGGGGCCAACGCTAATGTTGAATCTCAATAGGCGTTGACCCTACCTTTTATTTGTCAATGGTGTTTATATTTTCCCAAATCGAATTTACAGGACAAAAATTGGTGCAGACCCACACACCTAACGAGGCAGGTCTGCTTTTTGGCTACACCCGAAAGCATGCTTACAGTCAGATCAAGCACGGGTACTTCATTGCCAACAAGACGGGACTCAGGACAATTATTCGAAAGAATATCGTCAAGAACCTGTTTCGGAACAAATAACTTTAATATGGAAGTGAAAAGTTCTATTCTAGTTTAACAAAAATTAGAATAGAGTTAAGTTAAAATGTCCATGCAATTTTTCTATGCTTTAAGGAATGCATATAGGCTGGCATAAGAAAGGAGAATGGGCTTGTTTCAAGCATGTGCACCTGTTAAAGAAAAGTTTTTAAATTGTCCATGAGGATTGGTGTTTAAGAAGGTATCGAGAAAAACGAAAAAAAGTGAATGCAGAGAGGTTATTTAATTTGAAAGATGTATATCATTACATATCCCTTTTTTTTAAAGAAACAGAACACAGAGAATATCAGATTTTGGATATGTTAGGAAACAGTTAAAACAAAAACATCATCATATTTTCATATGTTTGGCAAAAATTGAAAATATCTTGATAGAAAACTATCAATACATATCATGAATGTTAAAAGAAAAAAGAAAAAAGAAAAAAAAGGGCGTGGTTGATTAGGGACCAAGTGATTGGTAATTCTTTGAATAGAGAAAAAGTGTCAGACTTGTGTGTCCCATAGACCACCATTAGTGGTTGTAATTGGGACAACGATGAGTCTTACGATCAAATTGGAGCGTTTCACAGGTACACAGTGCTCTTCAATATTCTTAAATTATTTAACAGCCAAAAAAAAAAAAAAGAAAAAGAAAAAGAAAAAAAACCCGTGGCTGTGATCCTAAGATTTCCTTAGTGAACATATCACTTCTGAAGACAAAGTTCAGTCAACTTTATGTTTGAGGACAGTTTGCGGTAAAGCACTAAAGAAGGTCTTGCCAAAGCTGACAGTAACTTATTGTTTTGGTCATTTATGATAGCTTCACCAAAATGATAAAAAAAGAGTGGAGGAAGGAGTTGAAGATAATGTATGAGTATCTCTTAATGTAAAATAGTGCAAAGTTGCACACAAAACAATGAGCCAGAGTTGAATTGTACCCAAGGGCATTTGTGATTTATTGATTTATTTACTACTAGGGAACTAGGGAGTTTTCAGCCGGTATGTCTAATATACTGATTTTATAATTCTATGGTTTATATTTTGCTAAGAATATTGTTTGTTTGATATACAGTGTTTTTTATCAAGTATATTTCTGATGAAGTGCCATCAAATAATTTTACAATACTCTACAATATATCATATTTTTTATCTCAAAGTATTGCATATTACATTTTTGTGTTATTTTGTTACATTTACATTGAAAAGATGATGTGTTTGTGCTACTTAGTTTCTGAACTTTTGTTAAGATTTTTTTTAAATAACAAAAATATTTACTTTTGAGAGGAAATAGGAGCTCTACATGTACGTTGTACTAGAACCGTTAATCCAACCTGTGCCATTTTTATTAAGTCTAACAATTTTATGTTAGCGATATAATATAGTTGATCTCTAGATCTGTGATGGCCTTGTTTACACAAGTTATGCAAATAAAGACTCGTTGAAAAAAAATGTCTTATTGTTGTCAATTTAGTTCAAGCTTTCATGACATACGGAAATAGAACAAGGTGAGAGCACATATTCATAATTTATGTACAATAGTTATATAAACCATTATTATAATATTTCACGATATTTAGGTGGGAAAAACTCCACATAAATGGTAATAAATTTGCGTACAACCAAAATTTCCTAAAATAAGAAATATTTTATTTTTCTCCAGTTCTTACAATTTAAAAGTTTTGCATTATGTTAATATGACATGATCTAAGTATCAAAAGCAACGTTATTTATCCAGAAGTTGTTTCTTTACTGACGTTAAAGTTACGAACACATTCATTTAAGCGCTCATACCTCGTCTCCCTAGGATATGCACAGATCAACCCTACAAAAGGAAACCGAAAAAAAAAACCCTCAGTAATGGAAGATTTATCCAACATTTTTTGTTTACCTAAAAATATTTGGCAGAAAACCCACAACCCGTGTTACTAGAACAATGGATGTCCAACTACAGACAAAAGGGTGGCTAATGGTTGTAACACTTCAGAATCTTTTCCCGGGGGTCTATATTCCCAAGACACCATGCTACTCCCTTAGTCGGAATATTGCCATATTTTGGCGATGAAGTCATATTACAGAAGCAGCAACCTGTTGATGGAGGCAATTACCGGATGAAGAAGTCGAGGAGGGAACACTATGTACACAGTACGTACGTACGTATGCTTACATCTATTGCATTTCTGAAGTTTTTATCGATCGTGTCTGTGCACATTTGTTTTTCCTCTCGATGTTAATGACAGATATTGTAAAGAAAACCGTAACAAATAAAGATAAAATAAACAAAAATTTAATCAACAACAATGCTCGTGATGTAAATAACGCAGCAATGCTTCGTACCCAGGACCTTCAGTCATACAGTACTACTGTCACTCTAACAGAACTACAGTACATGGGCCCGTATTCATGAAACCGTTCCCATGCTCAAGTATGGAATTTGTGCTCAAGCCGAATTTCTTGTTCCCGTTATAAATTCATAAAAAATGTATTTTTTCAATGATTTGGGCCGAAACATTGAAGAGACTTAAAGCTGGAAACTGTTTTCAATGTTTACATTTGACTTTTTGATCGTTTGACAAGATTTAAGCGAGTTACAAGAAACTGGGTTTGAGCATGATAACGGTTTCATGAATACGGGCCCTGGACAACGGTATATCATGCATCTTGGCATAGTCACGCAAATTGCTTCACAAACGAAATTAATGGTAGATTACTGGAATTCTCTAGTCTTTAGCTTCGGACCTGGTGAGCTTATTCAGCCAGTAGGTACCTGGGATGTAGTGCTATATTAAAATGACCTTGACATAGTTACAATGTTTCAGGAGTCAGATATGTTAAAAACTTCAAACAACGATATCCTAAGAAGCATTTGGTCTAGAGTCATGATACTTGGGTATGTTATGAAGATCAGCTGTGAATCGTTTTCTTTATTACACTAATGAGGTCAAATGTCAGCTTCAAGTGCTAGCCGGAGTCAAAGGTCAACGTGGGTTAAAAGCTTTAAAATTAGAATTAGAAATTTCAAACAACATTGTCTTAAGAAATGTTTAAGAGATGTTAAAATGTCCTGTGTAATAGTTACCAAATTTGGTCTGAAGTAAGCTATATGTCAGTTTCATGTAACAAAAGAAACAAGTGAGCGATACAGGCCATCTGGGCCTCTTGTTTTGTTTATGTTTTCCTCCAGAAAGACAGGGACATTTAAACACAACTTCATGAATATTACCAGCCAAACGTGTAATTCAATTACAACAAAAGGATTCGTTGCTTGCCATTCGGCACACCTTACCTAGTTGTTAACAAAGAAAATACACTTCCAATTATAACGGGCGACACATTTGTGAAAGTGGGATACATGTATGTCATTGAGTGTGCCCGATTCTTAGATACTACTTAATACAACATACATAAGTGTTTTCGCTTTCGAAGTTTCCTCTGACTTCCCGTAGACGTTTTTGTTGGATTGATTACAGTTGAATGTTTGCAACAGCTAAGGTCAAATACTGACAGCGTACAGAGATCACTGGCCCAACTGATTGGCTAATGTTAAGTGACTTTTGCCTGAAATGTCGTAGACATGTCGTAATATTGACTCTGTTAATGACACCCACAGGGTCTTATTATTCAGAAAACTGTAAAAGCATTGATGCCTGAGGAGACACCTACTGAAGAATATAAAATAGAACCGAAAATAATAGGGTTCAAAGGGTTGCAGCGGTTGTGGCAGAGCAAATGTGGTATCATTGATATCTCTGAGAAAGACCTACAGAATGCCCATACAATGAATGGGGTCCCACATTATTTGCCTTTTACGATCTTGCGGGAGGTATGCAGTAGATCAGTTATTCATCATTTTCCCCCAAATGAACTGCAGTATACATTGATGTAATAAACGCATTCAAAAACTCAATACTACTGTTTCATGCAGTCCTGACGAAGAAGGCTGCACTGCGAAATAGTATTAATCTAATACGCTGTGTGAAGCTTTCGGGAAAAGTGAAGCACTATTTATCATTATTGAACAGGACCTGCATTAAATTCATCGGAATATAAACCATTTCTTTAATAACGAGATCTCTCATGGGCGTTTTTGGAACTACTTTACTACAAATAGCTATGAAAGGACTGGACGGGGATAGATGTTATTCCTGTTTTGGAATCAAATTGGCTGCAGGTTTGTTTTTAAGACCACCCTAGGACAATCTTGTATCGTAAAAACAATCCTTATGTCCCATAAAGCCAGGAAGATTAGTTCTAAGTTTCACTCTATCGATCTGCCTGCTTTGTCACGATTAAACCGTCAGTGATGGGGAATGGCTGACAGGATCGTCGCTTGCAGAACAGGCATTTTTCTAAACTATAGTGTTTATCACCTTAAGTACGGGTTTGGAAATTGAACTGACACTTTAAAATGATACTTTGTTAATTCGCCGGCGGTGAATCTAAAACCTTAAACCTTAAAAGACCATACATGTAGCTGTTAAAAGGACGTAAAACACAAACAAACTAACCCAGCTTTCACGGCTTAATTCGGTGCAGCTCTACATGGCGAGGTTTTCGGGAACTAACTAAATTTGTATCTTAAATCCGTGTTGAATTATGACCAATCAAATTGATTGACAAACGCATTAATTAATAAGCCTCTTGACGGCTGCTGGAATTCAAATTTAATGCAGGTCCTATTCAATAATGACAAACGTGTGTATGTAGCACGTCAGTAAGTACCGCTGTTTATGGGATGTTGTTTTATTGTGAGCATTAAATATTCAATATTCCCATAGGAAAGTGATGCTATCAAGGGTGATTCCTAAGAACACTTGTTTATCCCTAGAGTGAGATGACGTATTGCCTTATAAAGATGAACCATCTCACTCTAGGGATAAACAATAAAACAACATCCCATAAACAGCGGTACTTACTGACGTGCTACATACACACGTTTGTCCGGAGTTTTGTATTGACAATTGGTACACATGTTTATTACATATATATGATAGGTCATCTCAAACAATGTCCACCCCCCCCCCCCCCCCCCATTTGAACGGTTGTCTGGTGAAATTAGTGCGAAAAATCAAGATCTATAAAAACCTTCAAATGAACCATGATATGTTTGTTCTACTCTAGTGTAGTAATACTTTGCATGTTTCATATGTATGCCACATCGATGTCTCAAACTTTATTTGAAATATTATAGGATTGACTGTTTCTATAAGGTAAAGGTAAAATAATGCCATCACTGGCCACAGAGCTGCAGCCTAGCGGCGTAGCTCAACACATGAAATAGGTTAAAGTAAAATAGATATGAAAAACCCCATCTTCAGCACAAATGCAAAGCATCA